GCCCGCTCCGCGCGTCGCCGTGCGTCCCACGGGTCTTATTTAAGAGCCCAGTAAAGCGCAGAGCGGGCACGGGCTGCGAGGCGTCCGTGCGTCCCGCGGGAGCCGCGTGGCCGTCCCACGGGAACCGCGTGGCCGTCCTGCGGGAACTGCATGTCAATCCCAATGGGGCTGTGTGTCTCTCTTGCGGGAACCGTGTGTCTGTCCTATGGGAACCGCGTGTCCATCCCAATGGGGCCGTGTGTCCATCCCATGGGGCCATGTGTCCATCCTATGGGGCTGTGTCCGTCCTATGGGGCTGTGTCCATCCCAATGGGGCTGTGTGTCCATCCCATGGGGCCATGTGTCTGTCCCGTGGGAACCATATGTCCATCCCATGGGACTGTGTGTCCATCTCACGGGAACTGTGTGTCCATCCCATGGTTTGTGTGTCCATCCCATGGGGCTGTGTGTCCGTCCCACGGGAGCCATGTGTCCATCCCATGGGCCGTGTGTCCATCCCAATGGCCCATGTGTCCATCCCACGGGAACCGTGTGTCTGTCCCTTGGGGCCGAGTGTCCATCCCATGGGAACCTCGTGTCTGTCCCTTGGGGCTGTGTGTCCATCCCAAGGGACCCAGCTTGGGATGAGGTGCTGCAGCAGACGGGACATGGGCTCTACCTCCTCCTCCCTGTCCCCCAGCACCGGGATCCCCGTGCCATGGGATTCTTCCCGTGCTGGAATTCCCTGACGCTGGGATACCCCTACACTGGAATCCCGCCCCCCCAGCATCAGGATCCTCCCACAATGGGATCTCCCTGGCGCTGGGATCCCCCCAGCAGTGGGATCCGCTGACACAGGGATCCTCCCGCACCGGGATCCCTCGGGGCTGGGATTCCCCCATGCCGGGACCCGCGGGCACCGGAAGTTTCCGCCATGGAGATGGTGGGAGCATCTCGTCATGTCGCGACACGGCGCCGCCCCTCGCGACAGCCGGGCGCCGACCTCACCCAACATGGCCGG